TGTAGATCACATCATCAGATTGTTAGCATGAGCAAGTTTTTGGAAGTGAGATTAACGCCCAATCTTTGTAAGAAAAAATAGGTAGTTTCTGAAAATAGGAGATTGTGTTTTTAGCCCTGTGATGTCAAACCTTATGGAAAGTAAAGGCTATTGTAAGTCTCTGTAATTAAAACACTCTAAAACATAACTACATAACTGTGTGAACAAGCACGTCCCTGAAATGCATTTGCTGTCTTTTGTAGGAGAAAACCGACATAGAAGGGACCTTATTTGTGTACAGAAGGTAAGGGTTGATTTGTTGGTTTGGAGTTTTTTAGGGGGGGATATAGGGGTGGTGATGTTTGTTTTCCTTCCTTAAGAAAACAAACTTCAGATATCTCCATGTAGAGCTTTCATACTCACAGTTCCTCATTTGTCCAGCTGTTAACAGCTGCATAGCTTTTCAAAAAGAATAAACTCTGCACATGGGTAAATAACTCTGTCAAAAGCCCCTAAAAGTACTGCTGAGAAATCGTAAAACTTAATGAACCCACATAAAACCCCAGTTTATCGAGCTTATTTTGTTATTCCAGTATAATTTGTTACAGTTTGTTAAGTGCCAAGTTGTCCTTTGTCTCCTAAAATCCATGAAGTTGATTATGAAAACAATAGACATGACAAATTAAATAATCTGTTCTAACTTACTTCTGGAAAATGGCAAAAATTTTTGTAAATGGGTGAAGTTACCCAAAAGCTGGAGCTGTGCTGGTGTCTGGTTTTAGGGACTATTTGATTTCCTTATGAAAACCATTAAAGAAATTTCCGGTTCTATAGGATGGGGGGAAAGGGGTGAGAGCACATAAAACCAATCATGAATTTAAGTTTTCAATAACAAGCAAATAAAAAATCTAAATGAAATAAAACTGTTGAATGTAAGAAATAGAAATAATGCAGGCTAAAGCCACCCTGAAGCAGACTGTCATAGCTCAGTCATTACAATATTTTGTCCTAGCACTGTGAAGGGATTTGAGTAGCCAGTTCGTGTTACTTCAGCTCCCAGCTTCGAAATACTTAGTGTAAGAAAGTGAACCAAATTTAAAAAACAAACTCAAAAAGCAAAGCACAGGGTTTCTGTGTAACTACCTGATGATTTCAAACAAGTTCTGTCAGGTGCATTAAAAGACTGACCTGTGATGGTAAGGATTGTTTACCCTTTCCTTGGAAGCTCTTGATGTGGGGTTTTTTTGTCTATTATTAGGTAAAGGTGGCCACATTTTTACAGAAATCTTAATATTTACCAGCTAATTGTGTCTGGTTTTTACCCTGCCTTCGTCATGCTGTGTTGTTGATTATGTGCTTACAGGCACAGCTGAGTGCTGACATGACGTTTATGCAGCAAGAGAAAACACATCTAAAACTATCTTGAACTTCCAGTGCTTGCTCGGTGTTTTTGAACCTGGTGTCCAGCAAATATCTAGATAATAAAAATAGTTTCACTAAGCAGTATAATTCTGAATAATTTAATATGTACTTTGAGGAGACTGGGGTAACTCCTTATTTTCAGAGTTTCACTTTAGGAGGAAATTACTGCTTATGGTTCCCCCAGAAGTGCATTTCATGCTATTTAAGAGAGCAGCCCTTTTATATTGTCATGTCTATTTACAGTAAGGGAAATGGTGCTGTGTAAGTGGTTTGGGTTTTTCTCCTTTAATAAAAGAATTCTAAAATGCCTCAAAACTGTCTCATGTCAAGTATTGAATACACTTGAATTTTAATGCTGGACCTGCCCTAGTTTTTTTTGAATAGGGTTTTCTTAGAGGCATATCTTTGATTCAGCAGTTTAACAGTGTAGAACTGTAATGCTAATCCTAATCCTGCTTTGAGGAAAGTGTAATTTGAAATTGAAATTAGGTGGCAGCCAAGAAATGGCATAGAAGAAAAACTGCGAGAGCTTCAGGACTGCCAAAGCTCCACCTCATAAAGCAATGGAGATTTGAAGATTAATTCATAACTCAGTTTCAGAAAATTATTTATGTCAATGAAGATATTAATCCTTGGTTTTGTTTTAATTGAAACAAGGTCAGCTTCTCCCTATCATGGTTTTACGATAGTGAATCGACTGAACATGCACAACCTGGTTGAGCCAGTAAATAAAGATTTGGAGTTTCAGCTCCATGAACCTTTTCTTCTCTACAGAAATGCCAGCTGTGAGTATAACTTTCTCTAAACCATATAAACTTGAGGTTCTGTTTTATAACCTTGATCACTTCTGATTACTGTGATGTCTGTTTCAAGTATAATGTAATGGGGCAAGTTCCAGTGAAATGTCTGGTGATGTTTTCTGTCTGCAGGGCTAAATTTACTTAAATAGCTGTGCTATTATATTATGATCATCACCTGCTTTCAATAAAAAGAGAATATACTGTCAAAGTGCAATATTGCTATATTCTTTTAAAGTAATGATCTGATAGGTGTAATCTAAACATATACACAATGCTATAGGATTAATAAAAACTAAGAAAGGATAATGAAGGTTGATAGATTTTGAAAGTATTTAACAGCAAGGGCAGATCTAAGAACTTCCTCTTGCAAGCAAAAAAATAAATATTAATTATTAGCTTCTAGAAGAAGTGGAGAAAATTGCTCAGCTCTAGGTTGAAGGTTTCTTTCTCTACAATAGGCTTTGGACTCAGCAGATAGTTGTCTATTCTAAATTTCTTGCAGTTTAGACTCCAGCAAGTTTGGGTACAGATGAGTGGTGAAATAGTACTTGGGATCCTCTCGCTGCATTTTGAATTCTAGCAGTGTTTTGTGTCATCAGTTGAGCCTCAGAGTCCCAGTGTACTGTGTTCCAGTATTAAAGCTGTTTGCCTCTATCAGCATAGTATTTGTGAAACTTTAAAAAACAAGACCAAACTAAAACCCCCTTCAGGCTTGGTTTGAATTTGCAGACAAATTCCAACATGTATACATTTTATTTGTATGGGCAGATCAGGGGATTCTTATCCAGGTTCTTTTCATGTGGAAGGATGTCCATTTCTGCTCAGTTGCCTGCTGGCATGAAAAACTTTGCCTTTTTGGGACTAATTCAAATCAGAGCTTTAAGCCAGTGGTTAATGTAATGTGTATCTCTGAGGGCTTAATGTGCTGTGTCTCTAAGTGAAGTTCTGCTGAGATCCCTTAATGACTGAAAGAGGATGGACTGCTGGCTTGTGTAAGGAAAAGCTGCCTCTTACAGTGTTGGCAACAGCCCTGTTTCTTGTAGAGTGGAGTTTTTTGTATCCTTGAAGAAATGTACTGGGATCGTTACAAACTCTTGAAGGTGAATTGTCCTGTTAAGATTGCTGAGTGATTGAACTGCTGATTCTGTTTCCTTAGCTTACAGATGGGGGATGGTTCAAACTACTTGGTGAAAACCTAAAATCATGTTTATTAATACTGCTGTTGGGCAGAGGAAAATGTTTTGCACCTGTATAGTTCAGTTGTAACAGGATCAGTGACAAACATTTACGCTTCATCAGGGCATGGTACAAATAGTAAATGATCAAAGCAAAATCATGTCACCGCATATTTAGGGAAGGTTCTGTCTCAACAGTATTTGTAACTGAATATGATACTACTGTTTTATAAACTCCACGTTTTCACTTTGTTCTGGGATTCTGTCTTAACTTAAGAAGATAATAAGGGCCAAGTGTGTTACAGGCACCAGATCAGACCAGATCTGGCACTTCTGTCTTAAACGGCCCGAGAGCTGTTCTGAGGATACCGAGTAACGTGCTCCAGCCCGTGCAGAGCTGCTCACAAGTTATGTGAGGAACTCTGCAAGCAGCATACAAACATTGTTTTTGCTTGGCTGGAGGCTGTAAGAATGATTTGCCTGTCATGTTAGATCATAATATTTTTGGTGGGGTTTTACCATTCTTTTGTAGTTTGATTTCTTCAAATGCCTACTGTTACTATACAATGACATTGTTAGTTTGCTGCATGAAAGAACTTAGTTTTGTTAAGCTGTAGACGTGAGGTGCTTTATCCAGTTGCACAGATGCTTTTTCACACTTAGAGCAAGACTAGCTAATTGCTATTTTATTCTCACTGGAAATTACTGATTTATCTGTCATGGCTCTTGGGGGGATCCTCCTGTTTTTGCAGGGTGGTGCATGAAGGGAACTTTCATGGGCATTCTGGAAGAACAGACCAAGTGATACAGTACCTTTCTTCTGTCTACCTTTTAGTGTGTTCTCTGAGCGAAATGGAAGACATTTGAGGTTTCCCCCCAGCCCAATCATACCCTTCTCATATTTTAGCTGTTAATGGGGAAATCTTTCCCAACTCCAGAAATTTTGTTGTCAAAATTATTCTGTTTACACAATGTGGTTCCAGCCCCAAAAGAACACTGGATCCTAAAAGTTCACTATAACACTGCCCCAAAGCTTACACCACTTCCTTGTGAGGCATCAGACCCTAAAGCAAAAATGATAGAGGGTGTGACTAACAAGCTGTGAGACAATATACCACTTACAGTAGTAAACAGAAAAAAAGTATTCTGCTTTTCATTGTTATAAAGAATTAATGAACAAATCGAAAAGAGATTGTTTGACTTACTGTAATATATTTTAAATTTGGAATTCTTCTTAAAAGATAAAAATTTTTAGATTATACCTAATATGCCATTTATTATTTCTTAGTCTGCTGGGTATTTTTGATCCTTGTTGAACTTTCCTGCTGGACACCTGCACTTTCTTTAGAGTATTCAGTGTATTTGTTCATGAAGCACTGAATCCCATTGACCTGGTTTTTTTAAATAAACCTAAGCTTGTTTTCTTTTGTCTGTGTTCTGTGAAAAGTATGTTAAACTCTGTTTCAAAAAATGCATACAGTTCTGCCAGTAGTAACAGTCCAGTCTGAAAGTTCAGTACTTCCACTCAATCTATAATGTGAGAATTTGGAGCTGACAATTGATAGTTTGCTTAATCATAGAGCAAAATTAGGCAAAGTTTTAAGGAATGGCCAACTTACCTGTTCAAGTCTGCAGGAACAATTCTTCTGAGCCTTTCTCATTTATAACTTTCCCTCTGTATCGGTGGTGTTGGTCTTGATTAAAAGGGTGTCTAATCCAAGTCAGTTCACTTGGGAGGTCAGGCACGTTGATTTCCATGGTGCTGAAAAGACAGATGCTCAGCATAAAGCCTGGGTATTAAAATAAGGGGTCCTTCTCTGGTGTGGGGGTTTTGTTTGGGGAGGAGTGTTCTTGCTTCTTATTCCTGTCCAAGATAAGAGTTAGTAATACAAAAATGGTGGATTTTGGAGAGGTTTATATGTTAAAGTGGAAAACTCAGTTACAAAGTGCTGTCTTCTGGGCTTGTATTATTGATGAAAACAACTTGTATTCAGAACAGCAAAAGCAAAATGAGTTGTATTAAAAGTCTTTGAAAGAGCTCCTAACTGGTTTCAGAAGTGGGAAGGAAAGTCTCTCCTTATCACCTGTGTTCCCCGCTGGCAGCACATTAAGTGTAATACATCTCTGTGATTGCCGAGGCTGACGGGCTCTCCAGCAAGCACATTAACCCGGTGCTTTAGGCTGAGATAAGAAAGGAGCCTGTTCTTCATATCTCTGGAGCAGAAGCAGCAATGCAAGCTGGAGGAGGGAAGGAACGATTGAAAACTGTTAAGAACTTCTAAAAATACGTAGTTTGACCTGAAAGATGGCACTCAAACTGCGAGGGGCTTTCTGCCACGGTTCAGTGTTGCAGAGCAGCAATCCTTCTCATTCCATACAATCCTGTCAGATGGCAGTTTGCTAAAGTGTTCCTGATCTCAGATGCTGTTTGCCACCTGAGGAATTGCTCCAGTGCTAATGCTTGTGGCATTGTGCTGTGAGCTGTGTTAGTGAAATGGCCTAAGACACTCAAAACGATAAGAAAGGGAGGAACTTTTTTTTATTCATTCTTATGATTCATAAATCTATGTGGCAGGGTAATACTTACACTGAGGAAATAAATATGAGGAATGTCAGAGAAGATACTAGAGCTGACTGAGGAGAGTTGGTACTTCAGCTAACTAGAAATACAAGCTTTAAGAGAGATGGCTTTATGTGATTTTGCCTTACACTGTATTTGAAGTGTAAAGTGATGCATATATGTGCATTTCTTTATGGGAGTGAGATGGGGTTTCAGAATAGGAGTCCTTTCATTCCAGAGTTTGAAAGGTTATTGTCCTCCACTTCCAGTTGTTCTGTCTCATTGTATGGCAACACCTAAATTGGAGCTGTAAAAATAAAACTTTTCTCTCTCTTCTGTCATCTCTTCAGCTGAACTTTTAAACAAATCATCTCTTTGAATGAGTCGAAGCTGTATCTGCACAAATGATTAAACAAAGGAAAAGAGAGCGATAGTGTCTGGAATCTCCAAAACTGGCAGTGCTGATGAGTCCATGTGCACTTCCCCTGGGCACAGATCCATTTGAACAGTTTTGCCTTACTGTGTGCCCCTATTCTTTGTCCTCTCTCTTGTGCTCAGATGGCCCATTTGTGAAGCTGATGTGTAAACAGCATCAAGGAGCTGGTCTGGATTAAAATGTACCCAGCTGGCATCAGGGAGAGGGGCCAATTGGGGTCGAACAAGTTGATGGCAAAGCTGTGGCAATGTGAGGGTGGTGACACTGCCTCTCTGCTTACTTAAAATGAGAACTGAAGTGAAACTACAGCTCTGGGACGCAGCTTCATTTCATGTTGCCAAAGAGTGAGGCTTCTGCGTCGCAGTGGCACTTGACTCTTCCCACTCTTAGTTCAGATCTGCTGGCAGATCTCAGAGCAGTGGCACAGTGAGCTGACTGTCCCATGGAGCAGTGGGAGCACAATGGAGAAGAGTCCAAGGCCCTCCTTTTAGTATCATCCAGCTGTTAGGGTTGAGCAAGAAGGCTTCCACAATGCTTCTGTTCTCTCAATATCTCAATATCTCTCTGGTTTTCCATTGCAATTTCAATCAAGTTTTAATAAGGGATCCAGTCAAGTTGTGTTATGTGTTTAGAGAAATATTTGTGGGTCAGTGTTTCTAATAAAAATGACATGTGTCAGATAAGAACAAAGATAAAGATAACAGATGACTTGTTTTAGTTTTATGAAACCTGATTTGTCTGTGGTATGGGTTACTCATGACTTCAGGTGTGTCAAAGTGTAATGTGAATCCTACTGAAAGATATTGCTGCTGATTATTACAAACTGCTGTTACTTGATTTTTAAAGATGCTGCCCAGCATTCACTGTAGAAAAGCTGGATGTAAAGTGTTTAACTAGATGGAAAAATGAGTCACTTAATTCAGTGGCTTCTGTTGGGTGAAACTCTTGAAAGAACTGCAAGGAGAAAGGTGCCATTAGACATGTGAATGTTCAGCTAATGTCTATGCTGGGTGTAGCAAAAAAATCACATATTTAAAAAGAACTGGTAAGAACCAACTCTGATATAAGGCTGTTCATAGCTGGAACTGCATGTAAGAAGTATATCAAATATAGTAATGCAGTTGGGACACACACACTCCAGGGGCAAGGGAGCTGAACTGGTAGTACACAAGTTCTCTTTTGGAAAGAGGAAGGTAAACATTCCAGCTTGTTGGACGTACGTTAATGCCTGAGTTTAGTTGTTCATAGTCAGCTTTACATCTTTGCAGTATTGTTAATGTTCTGCAGTGGCTCCCTACAATTGCTTGCCAGTAGTACCAAGTGGAGATTTGGATCTACTTCTGGTCTTGTGTAGGCCTGTTTCTGGCAGAATTGAGTGTGACTGTATCATTTGTCCCATTAAGATATCATTATGGGTTCCTTATCTTCCTTTCTTCAGCAAGTATGCTTTTGAAGCAGCTTTCTCCTCTTGGCAGTTGGTCTGATAATGAAGTCAGGGAAGGGAAAGAGCTTTTCTTCAGTGCTAAAATATGTTACATGACTAAAGAAGTAGCTCAAACTGGAAATTTTTATAGGTTTCTCTGCAGCAGACAATCCAGTTGTATTAAACTGTAAATTTTAATACAAGCATTTCATAAGCATTGACTTGTACGGCTTATAAGCATAAGCATGTATGAAATGCTTTTATATTGGCTTATGTCTTTTGTGCATTGATTTCTTTGTTTATGGCTTGAAAAGCTTTGTTGTCTTGAACTGGAACCTCTAAAGAAACAAACACCCAAATGAATACAGTTGTTATTAAGTAAAAGAAAAAGAAGAATTTCAGTTTGTCTTATGATATTGTTCTAGAAATGAGGTGTGTACGTGAGTTTTTGAGGATGTAAGCCTGGGATAACTGGAATGTCTAGAGAAAAAGTTTGGCAAATAATTGCCCTCTTTGCCATGGCTTGACATAATTTTGAGTGGGCTGGCTTGAGGCTTTAGAGTATTTTGAGGAGGGGAAAAAAAAGTGAGTGAAGAAAGAAAAGGATTTCACTTTGAAATAAAAATCTACATCTGGCTGGAAGAAGTTGTGTATTTTTTTAAAACATTCCTTTCCTTCACTTTAAGTTATATTTTTATAATCAGTGATTTCAACTTCATAATAACATCAGCATGAACTGCAGTATAAATGTGAGTTTTACAAGGCTAAAAGCGTTTTTCCAGAAATTATAGTACTTTAATGGTAACATATGTAAGGTGTCTAATTGCCTTTCATGTACTTGCACACTGTGCATTGACAAACTTTGTAGGTGAGTTAAGATTTAAAATAATCTGTTTTGTGGGTTGGATTCAATACAATTCTGAGAAAAGTTCTACAGCTTTGTGGTGTTGGCACAACTGTGGGACGATGAGGAGATGAGCTCGTGTGTGGGTGAGAGGCCCTTGGAAGTGGGATTCCTGGGGAAGGAGCAGAACATGGCACTACTGACAAACTTTCTCCCTCTGATGGAGTATCTTTAGCTCAGCAGTCGGGCTCCAACTCTGCCAACTTGCAGTGGAATTTTACTTCTGAAAGCCAGAATGGGACTGAATGTCTTGCTGAGCTGGAACCCCTTTGCCCTCATTGCTTTGTCCTTGATACCTTCAAAGAGTAGGGGTCACTATGAGTCTATTTTGAAGCTGCTCCATGAATGTGACGGCGTGACTGGAGCTTTGGTACTGCTTCCTTCTGGATGGAGAACCTTCCAGAGAGCCCCTGAATGAACTGTCATTCTGTAATTCAAACTAATATTTTTGTTGATTTTCAGAAATTGACAAATTTAAATTTATTTTTTTAAAAAAATGGATATTCTTTGGCCTAGTTTAAATGGTAAAGTCAGCAATTCAAAACAGGAGTCTGCAACTGCAGACAGCATCTGCTGGTTCAAACTTCATTTTCTTGCCACTTTTATTTACAACCAATATCAGCATTTTGTAGTTCTTGCTTTTTATCTAACTAAAGATATTTGTGTTTGCACAGGTGCTATTTCTGATTATTTTATAGTAGTTGGTCACACACAATATTTGAGTGGAAATTGATGATAATTCACATGTTGCAGATCTAATTCACTTTGGTTTTTTACTTTTTTCCTATTCATTTGATTTCTTTGCCTTACACTTTTTTTCTTATTTTCTAGTGTCAATTTACAGTATTTGGTTTTACGACAAGAATGACTGTCATCGAATAGCAAAACTCATGGCTAAGTAAGTACTGGGACCTTATTATTCTGTAATTCTTTCATGCAATACAGGAAAAAATCTGAACCTGTTAAATTGCCTGCTTTTTTCTCACTCTCCTAAAATGGAGAAGTACAACATTGTTGCTGGTACCAGGTTTTTTAGTAATGAAAATTATAGTTTTGTTTTTAAAAAACCTCCAAGATCAAAATTTTCTGTTAAGTGATAAAAAGAATCAGTGCAAGTATTAGTTGGCATTCTCCAAAGGAAGCACGCATGAGCACTGTTCATTATTTTAAATTGTTTTGTATAGGGATGCTGGCAAAAGACTTTCTAATACAGAAAGTATAATGAAATAAAGGATGGTTGGGTTTTTTGGATGGTTTTGTGGTTTCTTGTATAAGTTTGTGGTTTGTTTGGGGTTTTTTTAAAAGTTATTATTCCTGACTAAAGTGAAGAGATGGGAGAATAGTAGGAGAACTAGGTAGAATCTTCTAGAATTAAAGCAAATCCTCAGTGTCCTTAGGATGGAGCTTGAATTGTGAGACAGGGTTGTTGCACCACCACT